ACCATCAATTAAATAAAGTTATATTTATTGTAGTGTATTGTCCTAATACTAAGCTGTGAGAAAGTAGTTTAGAGCAATGTGTCATTACCAAGTAGTTATTAATTACATAGAACTCAAATTCACTATAGCCAATTTGATCCAACTTACCTTAAGACAATAATAGATATCTCATCCAATAAAAACTATTTTTCATCATCCAATGTTCCATAGTTCAACTCGAAACTCAATATCAAATTCTAAAACTGTTATTTCAAAGTTCAATAGTAATTATCATAACAAAATATTTCAAAACAAAAATCAACATGTGAATTAAAGAAATTAGGGGTATAAGAGAAGAAAAAATTGTTACCTTGACTCTTTAAGTTAGAAGAGTAAACACAAGAGAGCCAATGGTAAAACTATATATAATGTCTAATAGATAAGAAAAATGTTTTTTAGTTAGAAAAGAAATGATAAATATATCTATTTCATTTTTTCCCTAGGTATATTTCTCCTTTCTTTCTAAAAAGCACTATCATGTATATCAAATATATATGTAGAGTATCACTACCCACCAAACTCAAAATTGAAACAAGGATTAGATATCACAACTTAATCAGCAACAAAGCTCCATTAAACCATTCAAACCATATTAATATCCAACACTACAAAGGCCCAATGCACCAATCAATTAAGGACCAAGTATCAAATCCATGATTCCAAAGCACAACCATATTAATTTAAAATTCAAAACCATTAACGTTATCAAACTCCCTTAATGTTCATAAAATCATAAACATCATATATGAAACCATTAAAAAATAGGACTTTTTTGAAAGTTGTTTTTTAAATAGAATAATTTCAGGGGGGATTGATGGCTTACAACCTCATTGACTTGTTATTTTGCACATGAGCTTGATTCTCTTTATGGTCCATTTACTTGATCAAGTATTCATCTTAGTACATACTACATATAGCGGTGTTCACTAAGACACTCTTGTCTTGTGTCTTGTCCCGAAAAATGATTAGAACTGAATTTTTGTCCCCGCATCCTATCCCATCCTAAAAGTTATTTTGTCCCATTAGGAATCGGGATGAGATCGAAAAGTCCTACTGTCTTGATAAAGCGGACAATATGGGAGAAAGACCTAAATAATAACATTCATTGAAATTTTAAATCACATAATTTACTAAATTTAAAACTAAAACAATATAAGTACATAAATTACAACAATTTAAAGTCAATCATTAAATTATATTAATCATAACTATAAGTATCAACTTAAAGTCAATTATATACACTATAAAAAAATTGACTTTTGGCGGCGACAAGAAGTTGCCGCCAAAAGTCCAAAAGTTGCCGCTAAAAGTTTTTAGCGGCGACTTTCTGCCGTTAAAAATCGTCGCTATAACAACCGTCGCTAATAGTTTTTGGCGGGTTTTTGGCGGCGACAAATATTGTCACCGCCAAAAGTCTTTTCGCCACTAAAAAGACTTTTAGCGGCAACAAAGGTCGCCGCCAAAACTTTTTTTTAAGAAATAATAATTTATTTTATGCCACATCACTTTGCCACGTGTGCATTAAGTGATGCCATGTCACCTACCATATATGCAATAGATTATGCCACGTCACTTGCCATCTTGTGCCACGTCATAGTCCATGTGTTCAACAGATAATGCCACATCACCTAGCCATCTCATGCCATGTCACATGACACATGTGCAATTCCTTAAGCCACCTTATGTGCCACGTCACCATTTCGTGCCACGTCACCTGCCACGTGCATGCCTCGTCAAGCTACCTCATGTGCCACGCCACCAGCTCATGCCACATCACCTGTCACGTGTCTGCCTTCTTAAACAATCTCACGTTCCACGTCACCACCATACGCCACGTCACATATTTGTTGTGAAATATGACAAAGCCAAGATTTGAACCCTTGACCTCTCCCTCCTCCAAGCCTTAAGCCTCCCTTGTTTGCTAGTTGAACTGAAATGTACCTACAGTTATTATATGCGAAATTAAATATATATTATGTAATTGCATACACATATATCAAATAATATATGATTAAAAAGATACCCATATATTATATTTTATTTTCAATTATTAATATGAAAAAATGATTTATATGAATATTTAAATTATAATTTTAATAAATATTATTTTTTACCAATAAATATTATTTTTTTAGGAAAATGAACTTAAAATAAACAATTTTTAAATATTAAAATAATATTCTTATATACATTGTAATAAATTTTTAAATTATATTTTTATTTTTTAAATGAAAATTATTAAGTATATAATTTATTTATAAATATGTATTATATTATTTTATGTTAAATTTCTTTTACTTTTTTCTTCTCCATATTTTTCTAAAAAATTGATAAACTAAATGGTTAAATTTTTATCCTCTCTCAAAATAGCTAAATATTTCCCCCTCTTTTAATAAAAATATATTTTATAGATAATTTTTCAATATCTTAAAAAATTATTTTAATAAAAAATTAATTTTAACCACATAAATTTTGTTAATAGTCATTTTGAATAATTTTGAAAATGAATACTAATAACTTTTGCAATATATGATAATTACAAGAATCTCTATGTGATCAATCTAGTTAACATCTAATCATCTTCAATCTTATAGAAAGATAGATTTGAGTAGTTATTTATATTATTCTTAGTAATAATTAGTTATAAAATGTTATTATAGCAATGAAAACCTAAATATACTAGGAGAAATTACATGAAATCCTTGTCCAAAAGTCATTAGAGCTCAGTAGAAGAAGTAAGTACCATATATATATCAAGTTAAGCATAAAGTGCGCAATATGTTAAGTAGTCTATAATATCATTAGCATCTCACGATGTTTCTACAACTTTAACTTCCTAATACCATTTATGTATTTGATTGTAAGTAATAATTTATGTATAACTTAACCTAATTATAATTGAAGTAATAACCCATTAAGATTTAAATTTATCATATTAAAATAATAGCTTAATAACATAATTCATAAAAAAAATATGAGCTATATATGTCTAAAAAATGATTATGAATAATATAAAATTAAAATTTTTTAATAATTAAACTTAGCACACTTTAACTATTATTTTTTTATTTCACGTTCCTATATATAATTTATTTCTAATTCTATACATAAAATAAAAAATTTAATTTCATAAATATATTTTAAATAATTTTATTTAATTATTTTTTAATTTTTAAATTATTTTTTATAAAAATACTTTTGGTGGCAACAATTTGTCGCTGCTAAAAATAAATTATATTAATTATTTTTTAATTTTTAAATTATTTTTTATAAAAATGCTTTTGGTGGCGACAAATGTCACCGCCAAAAGTAAATTATATTAATTATTTTTAATTTTTAATTTATTTTTTATAAAAATATTTTTGGTGGCGACAATTTATCGCCGCCAAAAGTAAATTATATTAATTATTTTTTAATTTTTAAATTGTTTTCTATAAAAATGCTTTTGGTGGCGACAAATGTCGCCGCCAAAAGTAAATTATTTAATTTTTAAATTATTTTTTATAAAAATACTTTTGGTGGCAACAAATGTCGCCACCAAAAGTAAATTATATTACTTATTTTTTTATTTTTAATTTATTTTTTATAAAATACTTTTGGTGGCGACAAAATGTCGCCACCAAAAGTAAATTATATTATTTATTTTTAATTTTTAATTTATTTTTTATAAAAATACTTTTGGTGACGACAAAATGTTGTCGCCAAAAGTGAACTTTTAATGGCAACAAATCACAGTCGCCGCTAAAGTGACTTTTGGCGGCGAGTTTGATTTGTCGCCGCTAAAAGTTTTGGTGGCAACTTTTAGCGGCAACAAATTGTCGCCACCAAAAGTCCACTTTTGGCGGCAACTTTGATTTGTCGTCGCCAAAAGTTCACTTTTTTGCGGTGACTTTTTTAGTCGCCGCTAAAAGTTGTAGGCAAAAGTCATATTTTTTGTAGTGATATAAGACATAATACATTATAATAGTAATCACAAGTAATCTTTAGGCTATAAGAGCAACAACAATATACAAGTTAGGCACAATATCAAGTCATTTTTCTTCTTCTTTAGTTAAGATATGTTAGGCTAGTGATTCTTTTGAAAATAAATAAGAAATATGATATAAATAAAAATTATTAAATAAATAGATATACGAATAAATTATATTAATATAATTAATATATTGTAAAAAAAGAGATTACCACATATTGCTTACTCTATGTCATTAAAATTATCAATATAAAAAACTTTTAGTTTTAAATAGAAATTTCACGTATTGAAGTTATAATTAATATATTTAATGTATATCTTTAAAATAATATATATAATATTCAGGATATGACAGGATGTTCCTAGAGTAATCTTATGTCCCATCTCATCCTGATTTTTTTCAGGGTAAGAAAGACAAGTTTTGATATGACTAGGATAGAATCAGGCTAATCAGAATGGGTACAGGGTTGAACATCCTTAACTACATATATGATACTTCTTTTTACACACACACACACACTAAATGTCAACAAGGTTTTCATCAAAGCCAAACATTCTTCAACCTTCTATTCTTTTACATATCCACCCCAAGAGAGATTGCAATGAATCTTTGGACAAATTAAACTTGTGAAAACCCTCACATGCGAATTATTCAATAATGTCAACAACATAACACCATTCTAGCATTAACTTTATTAATTTCTTTGTACATGTTGAATGTCACCCCTTCATCATTCACCCTCAGAGTAATTATCTTTAAATAAGTATGATTTTTAAAATCCTTTAAAATAAACTAAACTAGTTTAATATATTGATCCTTAAATGTAATAGCTCCATAAAAAAGGTTTTCAGTAATTAAGTTGATATCATATCTTTAATGAAACATCCATTGTATATTTTTCTTTTACTTTAGTCATTATTATTTTGGTTCAAGAGTGATTTCTAAAGAAGATAATCCATTAAAAGTCTAACTGTAGTATCATATTATTAGATGATGAGAAGTGTCGAAAGTGTTACAACAGATCTTGCCCAGAAATGTGTGGATGGAGCAATAAAGGAAGCTCATTATTTTTGTTGTTTCAATAGCTATCTTGAAAACTTTGAAACAGAAAAGAATAGACTGTCTGCAAAAAGAAGGGAGCTGAAGAAAGATATTGATGATGCCAAGAAAAGAAATGAGATTCACATTGAGGATGGAGTTAAGCAATGGATTGATGAAGCTGATTCTCTCATTCATAAGGACACTAAAACAAAGAAAAAATAGTTTAATAGTTTGTGTCCTAATTGTATTTGGCAATATCGACAAGGCAAAACATTGGCAAAAATGGCACAAGATGCGGTAGATTTAATAAGGAGATGTGACTTCAACAGAGTGGCACGTCCAGCTGAACTCCCAGGCATAAAATACCACACATCACAAGACTTTATTGATTTTGAGAGCAAAAAGTCAAAATTCAAAGAACTTATGATGGCATTAGAAGATGAAAATTACTACATGATTGGATTGCATGGTATGGGGGAAACGGGAAAAACCACGTTGGCAACACAAGTTGGCAAACAAGTTGAAGAATCCAAAGCATTCCATAAAGTCATCTTTATTGTAGTGTCTACTCCTCCAAATATCAAGAAGATTCAAGGTGACATTGCAAGGCAATTAGGTTTGCCTTTAGAGGAAAGAAGGGAAGAAGAACATTCAATGCTTTTGTGGTCCAAAATTTCTAAGGATAATGAAAAAATACTCATAATACTAGATGATGTGTGGGAAAAGATAAATCTTGGAGACATAAGGATTCCCTCTAGTAATAAATATAGGAAATGTTGTGTTTTGATAACCACTCGCAATTCAAATGTTTGTGGAGCAATGGGATGCCAGCAAACAATTCACTTAGAGATATTAAATGATAAGGATGCATTGAATCTTTTTTTGATACATGCTATACGTTATGGCAACTCATTCAGTAGTGATATGGAGAAAACAGCACTAGACATTGTAAAGAAATGTGGAGGATTAGCTATTGTGATTGTAGCATTAGCAAACACATTAAAAAATTGGCCTACATGTGAGTGGAAGCTAGCTTTGACAACTATACAAAATTTTGAGACATTAGATGATGTTGATGAAGATTTGATAGAAGTTTATAATTGCTTGAGCTTGAGTTATAAGAATCTAAGGAATGAAAAGGCAAAAAAGCTATTCTTGTTGTGTTCTCTCTTCCCAAAAGATTATCAAATCCTAATAAACCTTTTCATTAGACTTGGTATTGGTGCAGGAATTTTTGGAGATGTTGACAAATATTATCAATCCAAATGGCAAGCTCTTGGGGTGAAAAATGAACTCATAGCTTCTTCATTATTGAAGGTTGAGAAAGAATGTATAAAAATGCATGATTTAGTTCGTGATATGGCCTTATGAATATCAAAGGAAGACATTCAAGTGATTATGGATTCAAGAACAAAATTAAAAGCAAATAAGCGATTTTTGTTTTGGAATATTGATGATTTGCCTGATGAGTTTGATGGTACAAAACTTGAGATTCTATTTCTTTGGGTAAATGGAAAGGTTTTGAAGAAAAAACCATATTCTTTCTTTGCTGGGATGACAAGGCTCAAAGTTATGTTCTTACACTGTAAGTATGATAAAAAGCATCTCCCTCCATTATTATCAGAGTCACTTCTTTCATTAAAGAATATCTGAACTGTGGTTCTAAATGGCTGGATACTAAATGATCTCTCTATTTTGAAAAATCTACAAAGTCTTGAGACTCTTGAGATGGAAAATTGTTTAATCATTAAACTGCCCCATGAAATTAAGGAATTGAATAAGTTGAGATTGTTGGGGTTAAGAAAGTGTAGAATTGAAAGGCATAATCCTTTTGAGGTAATTAAAAGATGCTCACAATTACAAGAACTGTACTTTGTTGAGAATAATGATATTCAAGATTGGAAGTCATCAGAAAGTGATAATGGAGAAAATATCGAAGTAGTCACTCATGATACATCTCCTAATTTGCAAATGTATTTTATAGCTTGTTCTGGTCTTGATTATTTTGAAGATGTTGATAATGGCCTATTAAAATGTTTCAACACAAAACATGTAAGAAATTTGATCCCAGATGCCATGTTTAAACACCTTGTGGAAAGAGCAGAAGTTCTTGAGTTTGGAGAAATAAGAGAGGAAGGATGGAAAAGTCTTATCCCTGATATAGTTCCTATGAAAGACAATAATAACTTGAATGATTTAATAAAACTTTGTTTGTGTTATTTGGATGACATGGAGTGCCTCATTGATACAACCAGCAGAAATAATCATTATTCTGATGTGATAGTCTTCTCCAAGTTAGTTGAGCTTTATTTATATCACATGAATGTTAAAGAATTATGTCAAGGTCCTTTGCCTTCTAACTTTCTCAGGCAGCTATAGATTTTAATTCTATATGATTGTGGGAAACTTCACAACATATTCTTTGATAGAAATCTTATTCTACCTCATTTAAAGACCTTGGAATTGCAAGATTGTCCAATATTCCAACCATCACTTTTCCAACTATCTGTTGCTCAAAGTCTAGCACAATTAAAAGAGTTAATAATCATTAAGTGTGAAAGGCTAAAAAGCATCATTACGTATGACATGAGTTCATCAGAAAAGGATCAAATAAGGGATGTTATTGGAAAATTGTTTCCAAAATTAAAATCTCTTCGAATTGAAACTTGTGGAGAGTTAGAATGGATATCTCCATTCCTTTTTGATGGAGATCTTCTCTCTTTGGAAGTTATAATCATACGAAAGTGTGTGAAATTAGAATACATTTTTGGTGAATATCAAGATGATGATGGCCAAATTCTAAAACAAGAGGCCATACTTCCTTCTCTGACTGAAATGGAACTTGATGAAGCTCCAAGTTTGATCAGTATATTTCAAGAATGTAACAAATGCAAGCAAAGACCATGCAAAGTAGTGAAAGATGATTCAAAGGAGATATTATTAGGTGCAAACTCCAAGACACTTTCTTTAATCTCTTGGGCTCATGGTTGTTGTTTTCTCCCTACAACTAAGGACATTGATGTTGTAGTTTCTAATGCCACATTGCAACATTGCACAATCTCATAGGTATGCTAGCTAATCTTGTCTCACTCCTTGTTTGTTTGTTTTTTCTAGGGTAAATGAATAAATTACCCCCTCAATTTTAGGTTTAATAGCAGCATATATAGACCTTAAACTTTGTTTATCGCGCAAATTATAACCTTAACTTTTAAAAATAGTGCAATCTATTCCTTGTCATTAACAAAAGTTAACTCTAACCGTTAACTGACTAGAAAATAATAGAAAAGAATATCAAAAATTATAAAGAATGATAAATTTTTTGAAGTCATTTTTTATCATTTTCTAGTTGACTAGCTGTCATAGTTAGTTTTTGTTAATGGTAGGGGACAAATTACACCATTTTTAAAAGTTAAGAGAACAATTTGCACAATAAATAAGTTCATAATTTACGAAACTATTAGACCTAAAGTTTAGGGAGTAATGTGCTCATTTACTCTTTTTTTCTAAACTAATCAATAGTTTTTATTGTTGTCTTAATTTCTATTGTTTTAGAATAAATACAAATAAGTATCATATAAAAAATTAACGATCTATAGGTTCTAATCACTTGTAAATACTAAAGTTTGGCATGTAAATAAACTAAAAAAATAATTATTTCTTATTTAGGACTTGATTGTAATTTTTTCTATTATGTTCTGTGTTTCTTAATTATTTGAAATGGTTAGCATACAATTTAAACTGAATCATAATTTGTTTAATTTATTTACAATTTGACTCTTGACCTTTGAACCATGAATTAGTTCTCAATGGGTTCAACAGTTATTCTAGTTATTAATAGCATATTTGTAAGAAAATTTGGGAAATGTATCTTGTTGATGAAGACTTCTTAGTTTTGCTTGCTAATAATATCACAACTTCTTTTGTTTTGGAGGTTAGCCATTGACTTAAGTAAAATGCTTAATGTTAATGAGATAAATTGGTATTTTCTAGCATATATAGGAAATATTTGACTTGGTGATATCTTAATATACTAGATATTTTTATTTTTGTTATTCAACAATGATTTTAGCCTATAGCATTAGATGGTAAAAGCAAATTATTTGAGTTGATCATAAGAAAAGTATGTGTTTGCAGGAATTATGTGAACAAGTGAAACGGATTGAAACATTTCATACAACTAAATGTCTTTTGAGACAACCACTAAACTTACAAAATGTAAGGGTGATGGATCTTTATAATTGTTCAAATTTAAAGTCATTGTTTATTATATCTATTGCCACGTTCATCATGTTAGAGAAATTGAAAATTTCATGGTGCGATGAATTGAAGCACATAATATCAAATGAGGGAGATGATCATTATCATGGTCATATAAATTATGGTTCAATTTTCCCAGCATTACAGGAGATTAGCATCAGGAATTGTAGAAAGCTAGAGTTTTTATTTCCTTCCATATTTTCAAGAGGCCTTAAGAAATTAAAAAGTATAGATATTGAAGGAGCTTCAGGACTCAAATATATTTTTGGGGGATACAATAAACATGAAAAAAAGATGGTTCCTATTGATCTTCCAGCTTTGGAAATGTTATCCCTTGTACGTGTACCAAGAATTATCAGCATGTGTGCTAAAAATAATTATATAGTGTGGCCATCTCTACATAATATTACTTTGATGAGTTGTTAGGAGTTGTTGATAAGACCTTTTCCAAGTTTGATGGTTTGTCTACAAGGAAGACAATAGAAGTTAGAAAGTGGAGATCAGGTATAACAATTAATTATATATTCTCAAATTTATTTTTGTTTATTTGTCAGGGCAATAATTAACATATATCATTGTATTTATTTGACCATATTTTCAGGAGTTGATTATGAGAGCTTCTTTAGATTTTATGGCTTGTTTACGAGGAAGACAACCAAAGTTAGAACATGTATGTATTGTTTTGTGTATTATTTGCCCCTGTTTCTTGGAACCTTTCATTAAAAATATAGGGAAAATATAATTGTCACGGTACTTTTTGCATATCTTGGTATTAGTCCTTACACTTTTTTTTGTTGCTTTCAATCCCTTAAATTTCATCTATCTACAACATTAGTCTTTATCATTACTGACAGAATTAAATTTGTTGGTGTGTACATAACATTGTTAATTTTATTGCTAATTTGGTAAAATTATGATAAGTTGGACATTATATAAACAAAATGACTACTAATCTTTCCACTTATCCACCCTAATTGTGATGTCTTCTTCATTTTAAAGCTTCATCAATCTTGTTTTTAATAATGCTCATTTAATATCCTTTTTTTTACTGCTACTTATTTTTTTATATAATTCATCACATTTTAAAAAGCTAACACAAGAAACAACAGAGTTTATGTACACATTAACTATCATTAATTCTCTGGCATATATGATTTGTTAGAAAATATTTTGTGAAATACTTGGTAAATTATATGTAAAAAATGTCAAATTAAATTAGAAAGAAAAATTTAAAGGCATAACTGTTGATAAATGTATAATTTTTGTTTAAATTATTATTTTGAAACTTACATGTAATGTATATAGATAGATGTATATTCATTGACATGTGTGATCAAGTAACTGAGTATAAAATTTCTTGTTGAATTCATGCTAAAACTTGGCATTGGATTATATCTTTGTATGTGTAGGAATTGATGAAAAGTGTGATGGATATGCAAAACTTGACAAGTCTTGAGGTAGGGGGCTCAGAAGAAATAAAAAAGATCTTTAATATGGAAGGAATTAAAAGTGATAGAGTAGTGACATTAAGCTTACAAGTCATGAGGTTGAAATGCTTACGTGAGTTAAGGCATATATATAAGGATCCTAATAATATTTTGAGCCTTCAAAGTCTCAAGGTCGTAGTAATAAGTGAATGTGATAAACTCATAGCTATATTTTCTGCATCAACGTTGAAAAGCCTTCCAAGATTGTCCTACTTAGAGTTAATAAGTTGCAAAGATTTAGTTCATATCATTAAAGAAGAAGAAAATGCATATCATAATTGTCATCATCAATTGATGTGCTTCCCAATGTTAGAACAAATTCGAGTTTATTACTGTTGTGAGATGAGATCTCTTTTCTCAATTTCAACATCTAGCATGCTTCCAAAACTGGAGATGTTAGAGAAGCATCCTCTAGGATCGAGCAAGTATTCACATGCCATCAAGAAGATGCTGCACAAGAGATGGTGATAGAGAACATGTTTCCAAATTTATCATATTTAAGACTCATAGACTTGCCCAAGCTTAGAACCATTTGCCGGGGGATTGATTTTCAATCTGTGCCAAATTTTGAAGTGTTTTACTGTCCCATATTAGAGGGTAAGAAACCTGAAAATTCATTCACTATGCATAATTTCCATATTTTATTTGCAATATCAATCTATCAATATAATGCATATATAGTGTAAATCTTCTTCGTTGACATTATGTAATGTATATGTGGTTTATTTGAAAATTATTGTATAATACTTATAGGTTGTCCAAATATAAGTATAAAATGGAAAGTCCTACATTGAATAAGATCAACTTTATAAGTGGTTTTAAGTTGGTATGGAGTGTCCTACTACTTCTATAGCATTTGTTAGGGATGGAGAGAAACCACCTTAAAACAAAAGGAGAGAATAAATGAGTGAGAGCAACAGGAGGATGCCATATCTTAACTCAAAATCTCAAAAATTAAGTTTGTATTTTTTTTCTTTTATTATATATTACCCTATTAAGCTTAATTTTATTTGATATGGGACTTCCAACATTAACTTAAGTGCTTTCATAGTTGGACAACTTAATGATATTCTATATTATTGTTATATTGAAAACCCTTGTGAAAATTGCTTTTCAACTCCTTATAATGCCTCAAAGTCTTAATTCAGAAAATGAAGAAGCGTTGAAGGAGTTACAATCTTCTTGTTCCAATACCAATCTAGATTCAGAAAATCAAGGAACAATAAAAGAGCCACAATTTACACATTCCAACACTATTGATCAAGCTATGCCACATGAGGTAGAAGTGAAAAATGAATAAGAAATAGAAACACCAAAGCTAACAAGTGCTTTACCAGCTAACTCAACAGAGGTAAGAGATCACTAGCTAATTATCTTTATAAGAACAGGCAAAAGACAGTTTTGTCTACTATTTGACAATTTAAGAAACTTGTTTACACATCTAAGTTAGGTTGTTTATTTAATTTATTCTGGTGTTTATTAGAATTTTATAGATGGAACGAAGAAAATTATTGAAGAAGTTCCCATTTCAAAAATATCAGCAATGGTACCATCATCATTTGATTCTGCAATCACCAAAGGACTGGTATGTACATTGATAGTTTTCATAATAATAGCATATACTTAATAAAGTCAATGAATAGGTTAGTCATTACTATGTAGGGCATGCATATTATGAATCAAAGATAATAATTTCATTGATATATTTAGAAATTTAAAAATAGTAAAGACTTTGAAATTTAACCATGTATTATCATTCTAAAACTGACACTATTTAGTGGAATAAGTCTACTTGTTATGGTTGTATTATCATTTTAAAGTACCGTGGGTGGGTTTGTGTTATATGTTTCTTATGTAGAGTGAAGGAAGTACTCAAGAGGACACTACAATCATGAAAGCTAAAATAGTTACTTCGTCGATCCATTCACAAGTAGAGGGCTCACAATCAAACCCATCTACAATGGTAATTTTACTACCTTTGAAACTTATATCATGTTTTAGTTAACATATGTTTAAATATCAACTATTTATCATAACTTTACAGGTTAATGTCATCAAATATTTTTCATATATATTTCATTCAATATAATCTTTGTTAATTCAAATGTTGCTAGAAGTTGAATTGGATAGCATTTATATCAACTAGCTCTAACTGTTTTTTTTAACCTCTATGTATATATATATATACGCGTTTGTTAGGGAAAATAATTAGTAATAAATAACTAAATTAAATGAATGTTACTTAAATAAAACTAAGTCATATATATGAATGTTTTCAAAATCTACAATTGAGTTTCAAGCAATCTTGTATTGATGATCCTTGAAGCTTAATTGCATATCTACAGTTCACCTTAAAGGATTTTCAATGTTTGGCACTTCATCCTAAAATTTTCACTTATTTGGTGCTTATCCCTAGTTTTCCCTTAAGACTAACTTTTCAACGATGCCACATAGACTATTAGAGAATCAAGCATTGCAAGTGTTCAAGAGGGACCTGAATTAGAGAAGGTTAAAAAGGTAAACTTATTAACATGCTCTCAGGATTTTAAACCACAACCAATGGAGGACAATTATGTTCATTCTGATGTTATTCCTTCTCAATATCATTGTAAGTTTCTTTCTATCTATCACGAGTTCATGTTTCTTTTTAGTCATACACTAACTTCTTTAGCATGACAGATAAATTTTGCCTTAATGATGCTGGTCCTTCTCCTACACTAGATATTAGTGACATTTTCCAACTTGTGGAGTTAAAGGATGGGGAATCAACTTTACTCGCCAAAGCACTTGAGATATATCCTCAATTAAGGTTATCTTGTGAACAACGTACACATCGAATAATAGCCTTTTCTTACAGAGTTCTTGTTGATATTTTGGTTATGCTGGCTACCAAGACCCCTTGTACTTTTACAGCACTAGATAGAACTACTCTAGAGGAAAACTTAGGTGCTGTAAATTTTCTTGGGTTTGACAAAGATTGGCTTGAGTTTGTTCGGGCTAAGGTTTTTGGTGTTGACAAATCTCATGTCTTGGTAGTAGAAGAGGAAATGTTACTCATAGAGACAGAACTTGAGACATGTGATGTTGCATTGGAGCGTATTCAGAAGAAGAGGATTGAAGCAAAAGGGCAGCTTGCAATAATGCAAAATGAGTTTGAAGCAATTGACACTCAACTATTTGATCTCTTAGAACATCGCAAAAAATTAGCTAACAAGATAGCAGAGTTTAGGAAAACAATAAGGGCTAAGGATAGGCCCTTTGGTATTATTTAGGTGTTCTCATTTTATTTTTGGTTATTTTTTTATAATTCATTATGATATGCAGACCAATATTATTCCTATATTTTACTAGGTAATGGGAGTTAGTGGAGAGTTTAATCGTTGTGATCTTTAAGTAAATTTAGACCCATGTCGCATGAATTGAGTGCTGTTTTGAAGAAAAGACTTGTTTATTTTAAAAAAGTTAAGGTCTATTTTTTCTCCTGAACTATTTTTGTAGAAGCATCCAGTGTTCTAAACTCTTTTTTGTAGCAATGTCACCCTTGAAATAATTAAATCATAACAAAGTTGCCTTTGACGATAAATGGGCAAATGTTAATGGTTAACTTTAATAACTCAAAAAATTAGTTTGACTCAAATCATACTAATGTTATCCTTGAAATAATTAAATCACTACAATGTTGCTCTTGAAGTAATTAAATTATAGCAATGCTGCTCCTAATATTTAGTATGTGTTAGAAAAGACCAAAAAAAGTATAGAAAAGAACTCAAAAGTTACAAACAAGAATTCAAAAATAAATTATAAAAAAGGATTTAGAAAATTTTTATAATCATTTTCTATAATTTTTTATGTCATTATCTATCATTTTTTGATCAACTAATGGTTAAAATTAACTTTTATTAGTGATAAGAATTACATTGTATCATTGTGAAAAGTTGAGAGGAACATTGCATAAATAACAAATTTATGGTCTTAAATGTCGATGAATCTATAATTTAGGGACCATGTTACTATTTAACCGTCATTTAAATTAAATAGATGGTCATAATTATCTTAAAGATTCAATGGCCACTATTAGTGATTCTGATGCCAGTAATAGGAGGCGTGCATTAAACATTCTAGAAGAGGAACAGACGCGCCTTATAATCTTCTTTTTCATCGTTTCTCTCTTTGTATAATTACCAATAAAATGTTTAAAAGCAACTTCGACATAAGAAAAGGATCAAGAATTACCATTATCACCGAAAATAAATTCATGTTTTTTGCCTTACACTAGTACTTCTTATACTTACTTTGCAAACTTTCTGCCACGTCACTTAACAAAGAATTGGATTCGATTGCATTTGAATCTAGTCGTGTCTTGATTGTAATTATATATTGAAAGCATGTGTTTGATGTGTGACATAATTTGATCCAGAAAATTGAAGGGTCATAGTATAGAACAACTCTAAAAAGGTGAGAAACTCCTTTGTAACACTCTAATAATAGACATTAGGAGGTTTAACTGTACCTTCATCACCATCATGATTGCCAAGTTTATCTTCATCCTCCATTTCCATCCCATTATCAACATAGCTTTAGCTTGAAGATAGTTTAACTTTCTTCTTGGAGTAGTTTTTGTAATATTGATCTTCATTCTCCATCCTAGCAAAGACCTTAGTGCACTTAATGACATTCTGCAACATGAGACATGTTGAATTCATAGAAGTGGGATTCAAGGGTTCAAAAGAGTAGAAGAGGGAGGGAGGGAGCAATAAATACCCGACTAAGGAAGGGAGGTTAACAGTAGGTAGAGGTGGAGGGAGGAGACGCCAATCAAGATGAAGCCAGAAGAGGTTGCACCTCGAGTTGCAAGGTGGAGGTTGACGATGGAGGTAGAGGGAGGAGTCATGCAACTGTAGTATGTATCTGTGAGTTGTGAAGGTGATGGGCGATGATGAAGTCTCTCAAAGGGCGAACAATGAATGACTAACAGGTGACGGGTGACACGATGGCAAAGGCAAAGTCTATTGAGTCTCACTCTTGAACTTGAATAAGGAAGAAGAGAATTTGAATGAAGTTAGGGCTATAGGATTTTAAGTGACTGACTGGGCGAGTGAGTGCGGCTCTGATTAAAAAAGCCACTCAAGGCCTTACTCATTATTTGCCCTTTTTCCATCACATGAGTAGCTATTCGCCCATACCCATTTTTCTCCCTTCATGTACAAGTATGAGTTGACCCGTTTGGCATGGGTTGGGTGGATTTGTGAGTAAAATGCTCATCCCTAATTAAAAGTATGGCTAGATTACACAATTTCAAAAATTGAGAGAATAAATTACATATTAAATAAATTCAAGATCTATAATACTTGGTGACCTAACGTTTGGAGTAATTTGTTCATGTTCCCAAAATTTAATTATCCCAAGTAAAAATAAGGCAAGCTGAGGTTTAAAAAAAATTAATTAAAAAAAAAATCGACAAGACATGAGAGGTATTCGAAATTGCTCATTAGATGAGTGAAGTTCCCTTTCTTCCACTTCTCAGCCAATTCGAATCTCCGACTTCTGATCAAAGTAAAGTCGTCAAACTGCCAACCCAAGCTTGCCTTTGCTCGCAGCCTCGCCCTCACCAGTCACCATTCGCGTTCTCACTCGCACTTGTCGTTGCCCGTTCGTGTTCTCGCCGTGCTCGCCTTCCGCGTTCTCTTCTGGCTCACTCAAGCTTCTCACCTCTCCTCTCCTTGCACTTGGCCTCTACTTCCTGTGCTTCTCGCCGTCCGTCGGGCTCGAGCTTCTCACTCTATTTCATGTGCTTTGCTTATCTTTGCTCCAGGCTTGTGCTTCTGCCTTCTCGCCGTCCGTTGGGTGCTTCTACCTTCTTGCTCCTCTGTGAACTTGTATTTTAGTTTTTGCTTAATCTAACCTCTGGATACAATTTGAATGGGTTGAATGATTGATCCCCAAGATAAAATCTAAATTTATGAGTAATTCTTGCTGAATGGGTTTGAATGGGTTGCTCAATCTAATCTAATACTTGCTGCATGATTCGGATGGGTTGAATGGGTGAATGATTTGAATGGTTAAATGATTAGAAGGTGCATACTGCTGCTGCATAGAGTTTTCAGAAAACGCTTGCCATGAGAGCAATAAGTTCTCTCCGATCACTTCGTTCAAATTTGAATTTTCAAGCTTCGCAAACTCAAATTTTATATATCTCGAACATCTCCAATTCATCAAAGCTTTGCCGGCTTCAGAATGCCCAAGAAATTTCGAATGAGCGGCCAGACGCTAGTAGCGTTGGTGCACTCTTCAATGATATCACTGAAATTTTTGGTGCCAATTACCCGATTACAGGTGATACCTTATCTGAGATACTGAAATCTGGGGAAACTCATAGTAATGAAGTAGACTCTGAAGTTTACTCGGCTTGTAGGCAGAATGTTTGTAGAAATGCCAAAGAGAATATATTGCAAGAGAAAGAGAAGAATTTTATGGTTCTAAGTGATGCCCAGTTAGGAAATTTGGACGAAGATGATGTGAGCCAAGTAGTCGGTGAGATTACAAGAATTGTTCGAGCAGAAAACAATTTGGCTTCCATGGAAGAGCGGTTAGATAATTTGAACTATGTGTTGAAACCAGAGATTGTTGAGAAAGTGTTGAAAAGGTGCTTCAAGGTGCCGCATTTGGCTATGAAATTTTTCAAATGGGTGAAGCTCAAGGATGGTTTTAGTTACACAGCTGAGATTTACAATACTGTATTGCACATTGCTGGAGAGGCAAAAGAATTTAGGTTGGTTGAAAAGTTGGTGCAGGAAATGGACAAGTATTCTGTTAACAAGGACATTCGTACATGGACCATTCTCATATCCCAGTATGGGAAGGCAAAGCGGATTGGTGAAGCATTGTTGGCCTTCAAAAATATGAAAAGATCTGGTTGTGAACCTGATGCTACTGCCTATAAAGCCATAATAAGTTCACTTTGTACTGCTGGAAAAGGCGAACTTGCCTTGAGTTCTATAAGGAAATGGTAGATAAGGATATGGTACTTGATATTGGAGTGTATAAGATGCTAATGAACTGCATGGCCAGATTAGGAGATATTACAGCCATTCGTTTGGTTGGAAATGACATGATAAGGTTATCTCTGCTTCCAGAAAATAGTGTTCATGGTTGTGTGCTGAAGAGTTTTTGCAATTTTGGGAGAATTAAAGAAGCTTTGGAATTGATCCAGGAGCTTAAAAACAAGGATTTGGCACTTGAACATGAATATTTCAAGACCTTGGTGAGAGGACTATGCAAGGCTGACAGAATTGTTGATGCTTTGGAAATGATTGAAATTATGACGAGAAAGGGAAATATTGATCACAAGGTTCATGGGGTCATCATAAATGAATATTTGCAGCAAAATCAGGTTCAGAAGGCACTTGATGTATTTCAAAGTATGAAAGAAACTGGCCATGCTCCTCCAATTTCCACCTATACTAAACTGATGCAGCATTTGTTCAGGTCGAATCATTATGAAGAAGCCTGCAAGCTGTATGATGAGATGCTGGGAAGAGGGATGAAGCTTGATGTTGTTGCAATCACAGCTATGGTTGCAGGTCATGTTTCCCATAATCGTATATCTGAAGCATGGAATCTCTTCAAGAGAATGGAATACAAGGGCTTCAAGGCCACTTGGAAATCATATTCAGTATTTATCAAGGAGCTTTGCAAGGCTTCAAGGACAGATGACATTGTCAAATTATTAAGTGAAATGATGGCTTCAAAGATTGTAATTGGATATGAAATATTCCATTGGGTTATGACTTATTTGGAAAAGAAGGGGGAGTTTGAGGTGAAAGAGAAAGTCCAACAGATGTATAGAGCTTCTAAACTTGATCCTCAGACATATGAGGAATCCAGAGAACAAGCATCTGTAAAAACTAAGGTTGATGTGGGTGTGATACATCACCAACCAAGGCCGGAAAAAGTGGATTACTGCTTAGTAAATCCACAAGTTGAGACTCATACAGAGCAGGATGTTCAAGGACTCTGTAGAGTTCTTTCATCCTCCATGTGTTGGTCCTCGATCATAGAAAAATTGGAGAAAAGCACCATTAAATTCACCCCAGAACTTGTTTTGGAGATCTTGATCAGTTGCAACATGCATGGTGGCAATGTGTTAAAATTTTTCTCATGGGTGGGAAAGCAAATTGGTTATAGACACAATACAGAAACTTACAACATGGCGATCAAAATTGCAGGGAGCGGGAAAGATTTCAAGCACATGCGCAACCTATTCTTTGAGATGAGAAGAAACTCTTATGTGATAACATCAGATACATGGACAATCATGATAATGCTTTATGGTCGAACAGGTTTGACACAAATGGCTATGGATTGTCTTGAAGAGATGAAAGCTGATGGTTATAGTCCAAGCGGGAGTACATACAAGTGTTTGATTATTGCCCTTTGTGGGAGGAAAGGTAGGAAGGTTGATGAAGCAATCAAAATCTACAAGGAGATGATTTCTACAGGATGTGTTCCTGACCAAGAATTGGTTCAAACTTACCTGGGTTGTTTATGTGAAGTTGGCAAAATTTTGGATGCTCTAGGATGCATAGATTCTCTTAAAAAAATCGGCTATACTATTCCTCTCAGCTATGCCTTGTTAATTAGGGCTCTCTGCCGAGCTGGAAAAGTAGAAGAAGCTCTCAAAGTAGCTGATGAGGTTGGAAAAGAGAAGTCTACTGTAGATCAATTAACCTGTGGAAGCATTGTCCATGGTTTATTACGCATGGGAAGATTAGAAGAGGCACTAGCAAAGGTAGATTCCATGAAAGAGGCAGGCAAAACACCTACCTTCCATGTTTATACATCCTTGATAGTTCATTTCTTTAAAGAGCAGCAGATAGGAAAGGCTACAGAAATTTTTGAGGAAATGCGACGGGCTGGTTATGAACCAACACTTGTTACTTATTCAGCACTTATACGTGGTTACATGAATGTGGGGAAGGTTACTGATGCATGGAATATCTTCTACCTTATGAAATGTAAAGGTCCATTTCCAGATTTTAAGACATATTCCATGTTCCTTACTTGCCTTTGTAAGGTTGGTAGATCTGAAGAAGGCTTGCAGCTAATATCTGAAATGCTAGATAGTGGGATTATTCCCAGCACTATTAACTTTCGAACTGTATTTTATGGGTTAAACAGAGAAGGCAAACGAGATTTAGCTCAGCTTGTATTGCAGCAAAAGTCAGAATTAATAAGAAAGCGCAAGTTGATAGTTTAATTTCTTTCATTAGCACATGAACTGTTGATGTCATCGGATTGAATTTCAAAGATTCTCCTTCAAACAGGATTTAGACTTTGTTACAAGCACTGCTTCCACTATTCTTGATTATTTATTAGAGGCAGGGGCAGCTGATGTGCCAACTTACACTGACAAAAGTTTTGGTGAGATGGCATTTCAAGTGGCCTCCGAATTTAAAGTGGCATTCCTGGTAGCAGAATCTAAATTTCTTAGACCATGTAAAAGAACATGTTTTATAAAATGGGTCCTTAGGCCATAAAATCTAAAAAATCAATTATTGCTTGCACCAACTTGAAATCAGTTATACCCAAAACAGCATGTACAGCACCAGCATGATTTCTGTTGCAAAAAATTCAGCTTCATGAAGGGGACATGGATTTCCGGCCAACAAATAGGAGCAAAAACAGTCTCTGCTTCACCTTCAATAATAGGAAATCCATATCTATAATATACACGTCATATTATCCTAGATAGATATGTTTGCTTTTCAATAATAGGAAACCTCAAAGAATTCAATCACTTGCTTCTGCGGAAGTGATTGAATTCTTTGAGGTTTCAAAACTAAGCAACTTACGACTATGGCTGCCATCAACCAGACCATCTCCTTCGGCTGCCATTGTCATGCCTCTTCACTAACTTCCATCTCTGTCTTTCTCTATATAGATGTCTCACACAGAAGCAACATCTGAGTGGCTTCCTCAAATGCAATAACTCTTAAGTACAAAAGTTTAAAATTTAAATGATTTTATCTATAGGTTTGAGAGTCATTACAATGGACAGAACTTTCTCAACAACCAAAAGATCACTAGTATATATGCAGAATTTTGTCGATCATTGTATTGTTTTTTCAAAAGTATTTACTGCGTTGGTTGAACCAAACAGGAGAAAGAATGAAGGAACCATCTGCAGAAACGAAGGAACCAACCAGAGAACAGATGAAGGAATAGTAAGAGGAAGAATTCAAAATTCAAAATAAAAGATAAAGGGGTTACGCTGAATGAAAGAATGAATAAACGAATGAGAAGCAGGTCACCGAAAAAGAAAAAGGATAAATTGGCCTACTGAAAAAAAAAAAGGGGGGAATGGCAATAAGGGCCCTAAAATGCAAGAATTTTGCAGATAAGGCCTAATAGAATTTAAAATTATTCTGAAGGTCTAAAAGCCTCATTTGCAATTATTTTTTTGGTGAAATGACCAATTTGTCCCTTCCAGAACCTAGTGCTGCATAACAACTTTCTTCTTCCTTCTCTCTCTTCCTCTTTCAACACTGATGCAATAATTAAATTCATCTTCCTCCCCTTCATGCTTCTCTATTCCCTCTCTTCTTCCTCCTTTCTTCTTTCTCTCCTTTCTTCTTTCTCTCATTTAAAACTTTGTCGTTCAACAGATATAAGTGGGCGATCCATTTTTATCCAGATGGCTATGGAGAAGATGATCAGGCATTTGCCCGATTACATTCCTTTCACGCTAACCAGTTTCTTGGAACGATCCGCCATAGTGTGGAAAGAATAGATTAAATTGTTGCATCTGCCATTGCAAAAGAAACTTTTTTACTGCTCTTAGGCTTGTCTTTGAGCTTACTTTGTCCATTTATCTTGGTCAGAGTCTTAGAAGCTTCAGTTGATCCATTATTAGTTTTATTTTGTCAAAAAAGGACGTAGAAAGAGTTTGAGCCTTATCAATTTTTCTAGTCATAATATACATGTTCATATTCATTTAATGAAAAAAAGTTATTTATGAACTTTTTGTTGTTTCTGATACATATTTTTCTGTAGCAGATATACATGTTCTGGTGTAGATGTTATTTATAAAATTTATATTGTTATTTATGGAGTTTGCATTGTGCAAACTTTACAATTAACTTGTGCAAATATTTATGTGTATCATATTGACAAACCTTATGTTGTAAACATATAAACATTGTGCTGTTAGCAAATGGATACTTTCATATTATATATGGACTTTTTGTTTTTCATAAACTTGAAAAACCTTTTCAAATGTTTAGTTTGATCATACAAATCATATGAAATAGATAGATATTGTGTTATTAATAAATGGACCTTGTCATGTTATATACAAATTTTTTATTGTTTATAAACTTGAGAAACTTTTTATTAAGCCTAGCCAACTGATAAATTAGACATGTATGGACTTTCAGTTGAGAATATATGAACATTGTATTATGCATAGTGGATATGGTGATGTACATTATCTGCATAACTCGTATATTTTGTTAAGCCTAGTCTATTAATAAACTAGACACGCATGGACTTTCATTTGAGAATATGTGAAGATTGTGTTGTGCATAGTAAATATTGTATTATACATTGTTTGCTTCACTTGTATATTTTGTTAAACTTAGTCTACTGATAAACTAGACACACATGGATTTTCATTTGAGAATATGTGAAGATTGTATTGTGCATAGTGGATATTGTATTATACATTGTTTGCCTAGCTTGTATATTTTGTTAAACCTAGTCTACTGACAAACTAAACACGTATGGACTTTCAGTTGAGAATATATGAACATTATATCGTGCATAGTGGATATTGTATTGTACATTATCTACGTAACTCATACATTTTATAAGTCTAGTCTATCGATAAACTAGACACGCATGAACTTTCATTTTGAGTATTTCACTAGCTTAGCCTAAACAAAAATGACAAGTTAGGCAGACCATACATGACACAACATCTACTATACACAAGACAATATCCATAAATGTTTAAAAGAAAGTCCATGCATTTTTAATATTAACAAGGACAATCACATCATATAAGAATTTTATGTTGATACTAACTTAGGTACTAAAACATGTACCCATATGAAATTTGACATGATATTTCAAGTCTGATATAGACAAAAATTAGCCACTATATCCAAAACATCTAACAGTTGCTTCTCTATATACAAACAAAAAATATCTGTTATTTTCAATTATCCAAAAAATATTATTTGAAAATGCTTCCATATACATAATTATAGTTTCCTATATGCATCAAAAAGGAACAATGTGACTACTTCTCATGTTAGGTTAGGATTCTTGCATGTCTTACGATTGTGTACAATCTCCCCACATCTTAAATAATAATAAATCTTCTTTTATTTTAATCTGTAATGAACAAATTAATTTAGGTAAATGTCCACATATAAAAGTCCAACTTTAATTTTACACAACTCAAAGTTCAACATAAACAACTCAAAGTTTATTTTTACACAGCAGATACTCCAACATCTTTATCAGCAGATTTTCTTCACATTGGGAGTCATATTTTATTTAATTCACATGTCAATGTCTGATATGAACAAGTCAACCATCACTATTGTATAACAACTAATTAACTCTAAAACTTTCATAGCTAATTTAATGGTTTAGCAACCTTTAGCTTATATCAATATGTTAAGCTTAAAAAAATGCATAAATAGGCAAACAATGTACAACACCATATCCACTCTACACAACACAAGGTTCATATATTCTCAACTAAAAATTCATACAATTTTACTTTATCAGTAAGCTAGGCTTAACAAAATGCTCAACTTAGGCAAATAGTGCATAACACAATATCTATTATGTACAATATAAGGTTCATATATTCTCACCTGAAAGTCATGTGATTCCAATTTATCATTAGGCTATGATTAATAAAATGCACATCTATGCTTCACATGAGAGACCTATTATAACTTCAACAACTAAAAGACACATGTACTGAATCAACGAGGGAGAAACAAAATTGAAGATCCTTACCTCTAAACAATGATGATAGATGCTTCAAGAAACAGATGACATTGCTCAAATAAGGAAGACGAAGAAGATCAGCAATGGCTGGTGATATGCAAGGAAAGAGAGAAAAATCATGAACTGTGCTTCATCTATCAACACCCATAACTTCTGCACTCATCCATACCGGTGATGATCAATAACGGTAGAGTGACAACTAGTGAAATAAGAAAGAAGACAAGAAAAGCAGTGAATCGTGCTTCGTTTGTTTTGTTTCTTTAAGGGTTCGTGCATCATTTTTAATTCGAATTAAAAAAGGCAACATAGTATTTTTGGTGTGAAGAAATATTGCAATTGGGGCCTTAAGGTGATGTGAAACAGGAAAAAGGAAAGGGGAGAAGAGAGAAGAGATAAAGGAGGAGGAAGAGAAAATTGTATAACTCTTATTCAAATGCCAAAAACTGAATGCAATGGAAGAACCCTAGAGCTATTTATAGAGTCCTAGAATTAATAAAATAATAATAAATCTAAATCTAAATTAAATCATAATATAAAAGATGAAGATAAGGTATCTAGCTAGGCTAGATACCTTATTTTATTTGAGATAATATTTAAAGATAAAATAAATATAAGATACTAAAGAAATAATAATAATACAATTCTCATCATTTTAAAAATCATGAGAATTGTATTTGATTTAGGGTATTAAGATTTGATTTAATATTTAGGGATTATTATTATTTCTTTAGTATCTTAGATTTATTTTATTTTTAAGTATTATCTCAAATAAAATAAAATATCTAACCTAGCTAGATACCTTATCTTCATCTTTTATATTATGATTTAATTTAAATTTAAATTTAAATTTATTATTATTTTATTAATTCTAGGGCTCTATAAATAGCTTTAGGGTTCTTCCATTGTATTCAGTTTTTGGCATTTGAATAAGAGTTATACAATTTTCTCTTCCTCCTCCTTTATCTCTTCTCTCTCCTCCCCTTTCCTCTTTCTTGTTTCACATTAATTGGTACCAGAGCCTGGTTCCACTTTCCTTTCTTGCGTGTGAAATCTACTCTCTCAAATCTTTTCAAAGCTGCAAATCATCTCATGAGGCCATTAGGGTAAATATTCTTATTTATCAACTTCCTTATGTTGCGCTGGTAATGCCCAATTGACCCTCTATTTATTATTGTGACTTTTAGAATTTTTGTAGGTTTAATCTAAATATTTATTTATTTTGAGCATTTTCTAGAAGTCTATTTTGTAGTCTCAATTTTATTTATCAAGAGACAGAGAGAGAGAAGAACAAAAAAAACAAAAAGAA